TTCAAAGCACCTGGACTCATTCCCTGACTGGGCAGGCAGGTGAGAAGGGACCATGTTCCTGGGGGCCATCCTGTGTCCTTGGGCACCCACACCTGTAGCCTAGTGGATACTGCTCCCTGCTTCAGCCATCCTAGACCTTTATATATGGGTCCCCGGAACACCAGCATCTGCATTCAAGGCTTGTTAATATTGCCAGCCTGCACATTCCCACAGACCTCCAGAATCTGGTGGGGAAGGGGTCCCCCTATCCGGGGGAGTGTGTGTAGCCCAGGTTCTTTCCAAGCTTTCCCCTCTGGTTCAGAACTGCTGGGCTCACCCTCAATGCCTGGGCTCTGGAATAAACCTGAATGTGAATCCTGGGGCTGACACTTAGCAGTCAGGCAGCCGTGCGCCCTGTACGTGATCTCTTGGACCTCCATCTTCCCATTTGCAAACCAGGGGTGATACCTATACCCACCTCATGGGGTTGTTGTGGGGATTACAGGAGATGATATCGATAAAATGCTCAGGAAAGGCCACTTGGGATGCATGTTGCACCTTCCTTTTCCCTCCCTTCTGAGCTGAAACTGGGCCTGGGGCTGTAGCTCTGGGAGGGCTGAACTTGTCCAGCAGGTTCTGGGGGCCTCATAGCTACAGTATTATCACGTGTCCCTATTGGCCCCTCAAGGCTCCATTAGGAAGACAGCTTTGCAGACCTTTGTCTTGGACAGGGTGGGGTAGTGGGCCCCTGCTGGAGCCCCTGAGGTCAGGCTCGGGGGTCAGATAGAGCTGCTTTGTGGTCTCAGTGGCAGAAGACTGGAGATGGTGACCTGGGGTCTAGGAGTGACTGCTGTCCATCCTAGATAGCTATCACTTAAGGAGAACCTGCTTCTAGGCAGTTCACATCCCCTATTGCACCTCATCGATCCCTGGCTGAGGTTAAGTACTGCTATTAATTCTGTTTACTGATAACAGACCCCTGGCTTAGTCTTTCGCCTAAACTCTGGAGCTGGGAAGCAGAGGAGCTGGGATTTGAACCCAGGTTTGCATGATTCCAAAGGTTCTTTATGCCCGGAGTGTGATAGCACCTCCCTACATCATGCTGATTTACTGAACACCTGGTAAGGGCCAGGTTCTGAGCTAAGCACCCTACATGCTTTTCCCCACTTAACTTTCCCAATAGCCCTCTGAGATAGTGTGTTATTATCTTATGGGGAAGGAAACTGCCACTCAGAAAGAATGAGGATCTCAGTTACTCAGCTTGGCTCTTTCACTGTTAGATCCAGGGTCCTGGGGAAATACCCTTCCACACTTAATCTTTCATGATTGTGCTTCACCTCCAAGGTCCCCTCTGCCTCACTACCCACCCATGTCTCTACTCTTCCTTCTATTTAGGGGTCTCCTTACCCAGGCTGTGTCTTCATCCTGGCCCCGCTGACCCTGAGCTGAGAGTGTTGAGGTGTGCCCCCCACCTCCACCTCCGAACAACCTACTGCCCCTCCCACCGCCTCTAGGTCTGCTGGGAATTGGCCCCTAATTGCATCTCAGGCTGGGAGGCTATTAGCCTGTGATTGCTTCCCCAGAGCCTGCCTTGCCCCCTAGGTACACACTTTCAGCTTCCCTTGGGGTTTAAGATGACGTAAATCACCAGTGCGAGGTCCTGGCCAGCTTAGCTCCTCAAAATCCCTGTCACCCAGCCATCCTGAGCAGGCCCCTTCCCAGGGAGCTAGGTCCCTTCACTGTGGGGCAGCAGGAAGGGGTTCCCCACAAGTCAAGCGTGCACACACACACACCCTGTAAGTGCTGCTGCTGGGAGATCCTCCTACTGATCCCCTGCACACTGCTGCTCCCCTCCCTCCCTGTAGCACACTGTAGGAGGCCAAGTGCTCAGCAGTTAGGATGCCTGAGCTCTTTTCCTGGCTCACACACTCCCTCTCTGTGGCCTTGGGCAAGTTCTTTCCACTGTCTGGGCTTCAAAAATTGGAGGTTCATCTTGGTGATCTCTAACTAGCTTAACTGACTTCTAGCCTGAAAGATAATACCATTTTGATAACTCTTGGAGTTTTCCTTCCACTATTATCTAATGAATGGTAGGCATAGTGCCAGGCATTGAGGATTCTAGAAAGGCAAATTCTTGCCCTCACAAAGTTCTCAGCCTTGAGAGGGATAGGGCCAGATAGTTCTACAACATAGAGTGATTAGAGCTGGGAGAGGGCTGGGGAAACCACAGGCTATGGAGGGAATGGGAGAGGCCAGGGTTGCCCTGAAGTACCCAAAGGCAGAATCATTTCTAGCTTGGAGAGGCAGTCTGTGAAAAACTGGCTTCAGGGTTTCTGAGACCTAAAGAATGAGGAAGGAAGGTAAGATGTGGGGCTAGATCAGCAGAGGGAACAACGGTGGGAACAAACATGGAGGCTTTGCAGGGAGACGTGTCAATGTAGAGACCAGAAGTGTGGACAGAGGTCCTATCAGTTATGTTTGAGAGTTTGGACTTTACTCTGAGGACATTGAGGAGCTGTAGAAAGATTTGAGGCAAGAGGATGATGTGGCTGCCATATGGAGGAAAGATTGAGGGCCAGGGGGGAGGGCAGGAGACCTTCCAGAAGACTCGTAACCATGTGTCTTACCTCTCCTCCAAGTGGGAACAACCTTTCCTGTCCCCAGCAGCAAGGGAGGCAAGACTTTCCGCCTTCCTCAACTTTTCCCCCCCACACTCTCCATCTCCCTCAGGGGGAAGATTGGAGGTTGGGGAGGCACCCAGAGCCACATGCCCTAGGAAGGAACGAGAAGGGAAGGTGTCTGGTGGTTTGATGACCAGCTGAAGCCCCCGGAGGGAGAGCTCCCTGTCACTTTCAGAGCAGCAACACTCCTGCTCTCTCTCCTAGGGTTAATCTCTGCCTGTGCCAGGGACACTAGAGCTGGGAGTATCTTTTCTTCCCCCTCCAGTCCCTCTTTTCCCTCCCCCTCCTGTGCCACCTCCTCTTCTGGACTCTCAAGGTCTCTGCCTCTGGTTCCCCAGAGCTCCTCCTGGAGCCTGAAACAGTGTGCGTGTGCGTGTGTGTGTGCGCGCGCGCACAGGCTAGAGGATGTGGTGTGTATTTGTGAAGCACAAGAGAGGTGCCATTAGCCCTGCCATGGGGCCACCATCCGGAAGTAAGCCTAAGGGCCACTCAGGTCTCGAAAGGGATTTCAGGAGGATTCAGAGATTAGAGAATTAAACTTCCAGCTGCAGCCTCTGTTGAACCTGGAACCCTTGTGGCCCCATAAGGGTCCTGTGTAAAGTTGGGTAAAGCACGGAGCTGGGCCAGGCCAGGGTGACATGGGACTCTTGGGCTACTGCTCTGAGTCCTGTTTCCAGAAACCCAAGGCTCCCTCAGGCAGCTTCCTAGATAGGGATGTGGACCACTTAAATCCCCCACCCAGGCCCAGACATGCAGGGTGCCATCTCCCCTTGGTCCATGTGCCTCTCCCAGCACCCCCCCCCCCCACAGGCAGGGTATTCAAGCCCACCCATCATCTCCAACACCCTGTCAGAGCCTGCCATGCCTGGGACTGCCTCTGTAATGCACATTTCCACTTTTCTCCATCTCCACAGCCTTCACCAGCCCAGACCCCATCCATATTCTCACTCATCTCCCCGTGTCCACCCTTGCCCTGCACCTATCTGATCCCCACAGTGCAGCCAGATACATGTTTCTCTAAGAAAACTCAGGTCACTGGGGTGCCTGGATGGCTCAGTCAGTGAAGCATCTGACCCTTGATTTCGGCTCAGGTCATGAACTCAAGGTTTGTGAGTTCAAGCCCCTCCTCAGGCTCTGCACTGACAGTGTGGGGCCTGCTTGGGATTCTTCATCGGGATCTCTCTCTTTCTCCCTCTCTCTCCCTTTCTCTCAAAAATAAATAAACCAACATGTAAAACAAAAGAAAAGAGGGGCGCCTGGGTGGCTCAGTCGGTTGAGCGTCCGGCTTCGGCTCAGGTCATGATCTCACAGTCCGTGAGTTCGAACCCCACGTCAGGCTCTGTGCTGACAGCTCAGAGCCTGGAGCCTGTTTCAGATTCTGTGTCTCCCTGTCTCTCTGACCCTCCCCCATTCATGCTGTCTCTCCCTGTCTCAAAAATAAATAAACATTAAAAAAAATAAAAATAAAAAAAAAAGAAAGAAAAGAAAACTCCGGTCACTACTCTCCTCAGTGCCCTTTAGTGAATCCATGTTACCCATAGGATAAAAGCCAAACACTTTGTCATGGCTCACAAGGCAGGGTTTACCACACTGGCCTCTGCTCTTGACTGCCCCTCAGCACCACCACAGAAGGGGAGCTCAGATGGGAACTCTCACCTCCAGGCCTTTGCGCCTACAGTTTCCACCGTCAGTCCCTCCCACTCACCATCTCCAGGCAAATCCATCCTCATTCCTCAGCTCTCAACGTGGATCAGGTCCTGCCAGAGCCTCTGATCGCCACACAGTCACCCCCTTTGGGTTCCCATAGGCCCTGGAACTTTGCCTGTCACAATTCTGACCACACTGTACTGGAAGGGCCTGTTTAATGTATTCATCACCCACACTTTGCTGTATCAATCAATAAGCACTCCTCGTATTCCAAATGGATGAAGGAAGGAGCAAGGTGAGAGAAAGAATGGAGGGTACCACAATGCAGGGTTCAAGTGCAAAGACACTATAACCACTACTATGCTTATAATAATAGTTACAGCTGTTATTTACCATGTGCCCACTCCATTCCAGGCACTGTGCTAATAAACATTATCTTCTGGGGTGGCTGGTTGGCTCAGTTGTTAAGTGTCCGACTTTGGCTCAGGTAATGATGTCACAGTTCTTGAGTTTGAGCCCCACATTGGGCTCTGTGCTGACAGCTCAGAGCCTGGAGCCTGCTTCGGATTCTGGGTCTCCCCCTCCTTGCTCCTCCCCTGCTCCTACTCTGTCCCTGTCTCTCTCTCTCAAAAATAAATAAACATTAAAAATTTTTTTGTTTTAAATAAACATTATCTTCTTTCATTTCCCCAGTGTCCTGGAGAGGAGACTTACTGCTATCATCCCCATTTTACAGGTAAGGACACTGAAGCCCAAAAATATTAAGTTATCCAGGATCATACAGCCAAGAGGTGGTACAGGCTAAATCTTCCTGAGTGCTTAAGTAGGGAGTCACTCGGCAGTCCCCAAGAAGAGATTACTGGAGCCATCTTCCTAACCCCACACCAGGAAAAGCTTCCCTGGCCATGTAGTAAAGAGTTTTTGAGTCCCTAGAGGGAAGGTGTCTCAGCCCACCTTGGAATGCTCTAGGGGGTATAAGAGAAGCCAGCCCCTTATGACACCACTTTTCCCACTCGTATCTCTTTCAGAAGCTGGAGAAATCCGGGAAGTCTGGAGCACACATCCCCTCACCATCAGGGCAGAAGGTAAGGTGCTGAATTTAATAGCAAAGTAAATTTGGCTTGAGAGGAAATGAAATTTCTTGGTCAAGGTGAGTGTGTCTGGGAGAGCCAAGAATGGGATGGAGTGGGGAGGAAGGGGGCAATTGGGGGGGGGGGCTGCAAAATGGGGGAGTGCAGATCTAGAATTATTAGAATGTTGATTATGTCCTCTTGATTGTTAATGAAATCCTTCACCTTGGATTTCTAGACCAGGGGGAAAGCTCCCAGAGCTCATTTTCCTGCTGATGAGAGCAAGAGAGAGGGCAGGAGGGGGCAGAAGACTCTCAGCTTAGGCAGAAATTAAATTCCACCTAAACAAATGGGACTGAACAAGCCTGGCCACTGCCATTTGGAGGCAGAGCCTTGGGCTCACCCAAGGTCCCCGGTGGAAATGGAAGGAGACTTCTGGGTCGGGAATGGCCCAGGGCCCCACTCAGGCAGCAGACTGCAGCTCCCAGAGTAACAACAGCTAACATTATTGAGCACCTTTAATGCAGCCCAAGCCAAGGAATGTGCATGTATTGTCCCATCAAATTCCCCTAACAGCCCTTGGTGGTAGGTACTATGATTGTACCCATTTTGTAGATGAGGACACTGAGACACAGAAAGGACAGAAGCTTGTCCAAGGTCCTGTAGATTGTAAACAGAGGCACCAGCCACCAGCCCAAGCAGTATGGCACCAATGCCTGTCTGAGATCTGCAGGATGTCCAGCTGTACCACTTCCTTCACCACCTTCCAGAGCCTCAGCTGCCCCATCTATAATATGGGGCCAATAACAGTTGTCACCATGTAGCGCTGTTGTTAGGAGTCAGCAAAGTATAAAAAATTAAGAACAACTCATCCCAGACAGAGTATTCCCTTTGGAGCCTTGCTCCTTGTTCCAGACATGGGGAGATGTCCTTTCCAGCAAACTGAGCACTTGTGATGTATAGGCACTGTTCTAGGCACGGGGGATGCTAACAGTGAACAAAATGGACAAGTCCCCACCCTGTGGAGCTGGGGACTTCAGAGAGGACAGGCAGACCACAAACAAAATAAGCACATGATAACCTCTGGTAGAAATGGGAAATGCAAGGGTACCTGGGTGGCTCAGTCAGTTGAGCGTCCAACTCTTGATTTCAGCTCAGGTCATGACACCAGGGTTGTGAGATTGAGCCCCGCATCAGTCTCCATGCTGAGTGTGGAGCCTGCTTCAGATTCTCTCTCTCTGTCCTTCTGCCCCTCCCCCTCCCACAGTGCATACCTCCCCCGCCCCCCGCCCCCGCCGTCAAAAAAAAAAAAAAAATGGGAAATGCAATAAGACACAAGCAAGCAGCCAAGGGGGAGAGGGAGAGCTGGTGAGAAGACTGCAATGCAAATAGGATGGTCAGAGAAGGCCTCACAGAGAAAGTGACTTGGAGCAAAGACTCAAGGGAAGTGAAGCACGTATGAGAGGAAGAGCATATGGAGAGGGAACAGCAGGCACAGAGTACAGAGGCTCTGAGGTGGAACCATAGCTGGCAAGTTACAGGAAGAGCAAGCAGGCCAGAGTAAGTGCATTAGCAAAGGTAGAGCAGTAGGAATTAGAGTCACAAAGTAGTGGGAGATTGTGTAGGGCCTTGTGGGCCTTTGTAAGAACTAGCTTTTATCTGAGTGAGACAAGAATCCACCAGAGGGTTTTAGGCATGACGTGATTTATGTTTTAAAGGTATCACTCTGACTGTGGTGTTGAGAATAGACTGTAGGGGGTCGAGGACAAAAGCAGAGACGAGAGGTAGGAGGCTCTTGCAGTAATCCAGGTGAGAGCAGCTGGTGGCTTAGTTCAGGGAGGTGGCAGTGGAAGTGGTGGGAAGAGGTCTGATTCTGGATTCTGATTCTGTTGCAGAGAGAGGTAAGCCAGCAGGAAGAGCCGATGGGACCACATGTGGGGGATGTGAGAAAGATGGGAATCACAGATGACTCTGGGGTTTTGCCTTCTCCATCTCTCAGTTCCCTGAAGATGATCCCTCCCTTTAACATCCAACTCTATCCTCCCTGACCTCCTCCTGAGTCCCCTGAAACACCCTCAGCTCGTGGAGCTTTATTCACCATCCACTTCTTGCCACCCTTGTCTCCCTGCACTGCTTGGAAATTTGCCTTACAGAGCCCCAGGTTGAGGGCATAGAAGTTGACCCAGAGTATACATCTGCCTCATGCCTTCTAGGGCCCCCAAGTCCTTCCTCAGCTCAAGGGGTCCCATCGTGTCTGCTGTCCACCTGAGCAGCCCCTGAAGTCCCTGGCTCCCCCCAACTTTGGTGTTCCTTCTCTTGCTCCCTCGAACTGGCCCTGCTCTCTACCACACAGCTCTGTTCTTCCTAGTCACCCAGCTGCCTCCCATGCTTCCCCTAGATCTCAGGTGGGCACTCCACCACCACCCAGGAAGCTTGCCACTCTGGAGGAAGCCCCTTATTCTAGCCCTGATCTCTACCACAGGGGCAAGTTCATCTTGTGTGATTATTTGATGAAAGTCTGTCACCTCACCTGACTGTAACCTCCACAAGGGCAGAGGCCCACCTGTGTCCCCAGAAGCAGGCAATTCACTAAAAGAGACATTCAGTGGATTTGACATGGAGCCTTAGGCTTTTGGTAAATTAACTTTCATTGACCAAAATCTTCCAGCTGCTAGGTAAATGCCTGGCACATAGCAGGTGCTCAAGACATATTTATTAAGGGATGAATCAGTCAATGAGTCAGAGTTCGCCTGGAAGACTGTGGAATGTGACAAATTTTCTGAGCCTCAGTTTCCCCATATGTAATCACAGGAATGAGAACACCTACTTCGGGAGTTGTGAGGATTAAAAAACAGGAGACATGAGCAGTGCCTCACACTAGTAGCTGCTCAATAATTGTCCCTCCGATGCATGTTCAGACAATTACCACCTTACAACTCCCCCATGCTTCCTCTCCCCTCCCCCCATCCTGTCCGGTCCTCTCTTCCCCAGCCTCCTCCCCTCCCTAGGACTCTTAGGGGTGGAAGCACCACAGCCTCCAAACACTCCCCTTCTCCCCCAAGCTCCCCAAATTTGCCACTGGTTACATATTGATCCTGTTTAACTTTCCCAATGGATGATAAACACGAAATTAAAATGACTTCCTGGAATATTAATGTAGTAAATGGCCCTATTAAAAGAAAGAAAATACAGCTGAGAAAATTCGCTTTGATGTAGCGTTTCTGCAGGAGGCTCATTTATCTGCAGCTCAGACTCTCAAAATGAGATTCTGAAGGTTTCTCTGATGTCTCTTATTTTTCCCTCACCCAGAATTTAAACAGAAAATAGAATCACAAGCTGGTGTCATAAAAACGTGGGCCTTTTCCCTTCTCAACTAAAAAGCAAATGAAAACAGGGCCAGGTAGATGTCAGTCTCTGCAAACACTGGTCTGAGGATGACACCTGCCTTTCCAGATTTCTCCCGCATCTTGCCCACAAGAGGCCGGTCCAGGCTGCCAGGCTAACTTCTGAGGGTCACTGGGGTACTCAGAGGTCTGCACGCTGCTGCTGCTGCTGAAATCAGGAAAGGGGATTGAGAACCGCAGGAGGCTGTGTCCCAGTGTGGGCAGATACTCACATTTTGGTGGACTTGAAATCTTGGCTCTGTCACTTAGTAGCTATTTGTTCTTGGACACCTTTCTGAGTCTTTGTTTCCTCATCTAACAGATGTACTAACAGTCTAGTACCTAACTCACAGGGAAGTTGTAAAGGTTGACTGAGATAATGTATCTGGCATGTGGTAAGTTGCTCAGGGTTGCGCTTGTCTGTTACTGTTATTTTTTTTTTTTTAATGTTTGTTTATTTTTGAGAGAGAGAGAGTGCAGGGGAGGGCCAGAGAGAGGGAGACAGAGGATCTGAGTCAGCACAGAGCCCAATGTGGGGATCGAATAACTCATGAGCCGTGAGATCATTACCCGAGTCGAAGTTGGGAGCTTAACCGATTGAGCCACCCAGGCGCCCCTGTCTGTTACTATTATTAAAAATAATAATTTGTGTTATTTTTGCAACCAGTCATTCAGGCCCAGACTGAGATGCCACCTCCTCTAAGAAGTTCTTCCTCAGCTGGGTCATGTGTTTCCTTTGAGTGGCCACAGCTCTGAGCTCCCCCCATCCCAGCACTGGTCACTCCCCTGTCTTTCCCAGCAGCCTGCACCTCCATGAGGGCTTGCCTGGGTCTTGCTCATGATTATGTCCCAGGGGCATATGGTAGAACCTCAGTGTTTTGGATTCAGAGCCAAGGTGCTGGTAGCTGATGTCCCTGGGCCAGCTGGTATGGTCTGCAGATTTGTCTTATGGGCACAGGGTCCTTCCATGCAGCCCTCAGAACTCAAAGCTCCCAGGTTGGAGATGGCTGTCCATCCATCTCCCCCAGATCTGGACTCCCTTGTCTACACCTTCCCTGGGTTTCATCTGGACTCTCAGGAGCCCCCTCCCTCTTCCCTGGCCTCAGGTAGGTGGCAAACAGAGCAGCTCAAACCAAGGCTTCTAGGATTAACTCTTTCCTCCCTTCTCCCTTCTCCCATCGGTCCCCTCCTCCCCCCACCTGTCTCTTCTCCTCAGCAACTTGTGTTGAGAGCCTTCATCTCTTTTACTTGGATTTGGCCCTTTGGGCAGGTGGAGGGGGCTGCATGCCCTCTGCCTGGGTTGAGCTTCCTGGGATGCCCTTGGATGAGCATAGGGTGGACCCAAGACTTCCCTAATTGGCAAAAGCCATAGCTCTGCACCCCCCCCACACACCCCGGCACCTGACTCTTTTGGTCCTTCCTGCTGCCAGACAGACTCAGGACCCCTATGCTGAAAACAAGAGAGTAGCCCCACCCTCCTAGGCAGCCAGAGCCCTGGCACAGTGCTTCTGAACCATTCCCATTCTAGACCCAGCGCACACACTCACACACATGTAGTTACACGACCAGCACTGATACTCAGTCACACAATCCCTGTTGTCCACAGCAACAGGAGTGAAGAAAGAAAAGGAA